AAAATAGCTTTACGCCAAAGAATTATTACAAGCACAATGTATCGAAGAAGAAAGACGCCAAAGCTTTTGTAATTCACTCTTCAACAATTATGAAGAAATCTTGGATATCCATCAACGTCTTGCCAATGAACTCAAGGACTATCAGAGTTATTGTCAAAGTCAAAGTTCCATCGGTATTGTGGAGCGGGTAGGCGACATTTTTTTAAATCACACCCGTCGATTCATGAATGCCTATTTGAAATATGCCCCGCACGTGGTCCTTGCCGAATACTTCTCCAAAAAGGAATATGATTCCAATATCGTCTTTCAAAACTTTATTCGCACCCAAGAGAAATTAGCAGAGTGTCGCAAACTGCCCTTCCGCCATTTCTTGATCCTGCCCGTGACAAGATTGCAGCGCTATGTGCTGCTGCTGGATGCCGTGCTCAAAAAGACACCCGACGATCACTCGGATAAGCGGGACATTCAGAAATGTATAGATATTGTAAAAAAAGTGGCATCGGCATCGGATGAGAAGACACTGTTGACAAAGAGTACGTTGCGCATATATGAGATCAATGATCGATTACGTTACAAGTTGATCAATGGAGAGCAGTGTAATATAGATTTATTAAAACCCGGGAGAAAGTTGTGGTTGGAGGGCGTGCTCGGTAAAAAGCAGCATTTGGATCAGGTCGGCATGCAGGTGTTCTTGTTTGATCATGTATTATTGATTACAAAAATTAAAAAGATATCTTCCGGGGATGATGTCGAGTATCATGTCACAAAGCAGCCCATCCCACTTGAGTTGCTCCATTTGCAAGAGGCAACGGAGGGTTTTTCCATCGGTGTGAGAACCATGAGCTCAACTGTAAATGGAACAAATGGAGGTACCATGATGACAAGCAACACACAGGACAATATGTTGGTCAATGTTCCAGTAACAACGGGTGGAAGCTATCCTTTGGTATTCCAGCATCTGGGTCGTCAGGGCACCGAGCATATGCTCTATGCTGAGAATTCACAGGTGCGTTTGAGCTGGAAGGAGAATATTGTGATGGCAAAGGCACAGTTAGAGAATCTGTATCCAGAGAGAAGGGTGTTTGAGATTAGATCGTTGAGTGATACCACTTTTGCCGGCTCCAACAGTTCGAGTGCAGTGAGTAGTGTACATAATCATGGAAAAGTGACCTGTACTGTTCCCTTTATGGGGGCGACAGGTATTCGAATGGTGGCTATTGGTACACAGCATGGTGTGTGGATGGGCATTGAGGGAGATACGAATACTATTAGTCTTGTTTTGACGATCAATGATGTCAATCAGATTGCAGTGTTGGAAGACCATAATATCTTTTTGGTGCTGTCTGGTAAAGTATTTTTTTTATTATTATTACTATTATAATGATGGTGATAGATTGAAGAAGAAAAAATGTATTCACTCTTTCTTTCCTTTTTTATATTTAGATAAAACGCTATACGCCTATGCACTCGACTCACTCGTTCCCAAAGAAAATCGCAAAGTCACCCTCGAAAAACCTCATCAAAAAATCGCCACTCACATCAGTTTCTTCTACGCAGGTGTCTGTAACAACCGCACACTAGTCATTGCCATGAAGAAGCGTGGTGTCGACAGTCACTTCAAGGCCATGGAGCCCGTCTGCGGTGATCTACGCAATCCCAAAAATGCCAAATTTTTTACCAAATCTGGTCTCTTCAACAAGATGCCCTCATGGTTCAAGAACTATACCGAGTTTTATGTTGGTACCGAGAGTTATGCGCTTCATTTCTTAAAGGCACGTGTGGCCATTGTCTGTTCGCGTGGGTTTGAGATTATCAATCTGGATGCACTTAATACCAACCGAAATTTACCCGATCCGGACCATCCCGATTTCAGCTTTATTAGAAAGAGAGAGGATTTGCATCCTTTGGGTATGTTTAAGTGTAAACAGCATTATTTGTTGTGTTATAGTGAGTTTGTGTTTATGGTTGATGTACATGGCGGTCTTGTGCCGGGAACACCTGTTATCGAGTGGGAAGGTGCACCGCAGTCTGTTGCGTTTTATTATCCGTATGTAATTGGGTTTGATAACCGATTTATTGAAGTTCGTAATGTAGAAACTGTAAGTCTTTTCATTCATATTTGTAACGATAATAATAACAAAATAGAACTGATATTGATTATTATTTTTTATTTTTTTTTGTATAGGGTGAGCTAGTGCAGGTTTTGGCAGGTTTCCATATGCGCTGTTTACAGTTTGTTAGTCAATCCATTGCACCGGTTATTCATGGTTGCATGGCACATCCTTTTAAACCTGAATTCCAATATATTTTCCAGTTGGTAGGCATGTTTGAACCTGATATTTAAAAAAAAAAGACAACCTTTCATATTATTATATACATTTATATTTTTATTTTCATTTGATTTCCCTCTTTATTATTATTTATTTTTCCCTTCTTTTTTATATATATAATGTGTTTTGAAAATACTATATCTTTTAATAAAAAAACAAGAATATATTAATACATTTTTTTTTCTGTGTTTCTTTGTAATAATAAACCCAGGTTTTTTGGATCATCATTTTTTCTTTTTTTTCTTCTGTAATGCTTCAAAAAATGTCGATGTATTTTCATGTAGTTTATATCGAAAAATAGGCATTGTAGAAAAAGGTATTGGTTTAGATTTGATCCATTTTTTGCGGCGTTTTTGTTTGATCTTGGTTTGTGTTTTTGACATTTTGCTTTTATGTCTATATTTTTACTATTGTCAGGCACATCGCTTTTTTGGTTCTTATTCATAAAAAAAAAAACCTTAGACCACCATTCCAGTTCATTGTTGTTACCAAAAAAAAACAAATAAATAAAGAGAGAGAAAAAAACGAATAATTGAAAAAGCTGTCAATTTTCTTAAATCCAGTTTTTGTAATTGGCTTATTATTTTTCAGGGTTAAGTTTATTTTTTCTTGTAAATAACCAAATAAACATATCAAAAAAGTGTTAG